TATATTATATGAAACTAGTAGGTAACTTCTCTATTGAGGTACTGAAATCCCAGCCATAATATTATGTATTATTGTATTATTGTGTATTATGAATAATAATAATTTAAATAAATAATAATAATTAATAATTTCAATAATAATAATACTGATTAGTGATAACAAAAAATATTTCGCGGCATTTTCAAATCAACCAATCGTAGAGGATGATTTTAATACAGGTGCCGAGCTCATATATGGAATGCTTATATGCGGGCCGGCACAACTGGTTTAAGCATTTTATAMCTAACTGCCAGGTTGACTATTGGTGCGGTGTTAGCAAACCAGAGCGCCAAAGCGCTCTGGTCAGTGTCCATCTCCTCGTGACGGGGACGCCCCGACCATGAGGGAACGACGCGGTTCGTCAAGCCGCGCCATCCAGCGAAAACACAAACTAGGCTRTGGTTTCGCTAGATTGCGACTAGCACATCAGTGGTTATAAATATGGCATCATAGTGCCAATCACCCCGATAGCAGAGCGGGTACTCTAACTTCCCGGGCAGGTCGGTGGCGGTCCAAGCCCGCTCAACACCAGAGGGATGCACCCCACACAGCAATTTGAGAATATTGATATTTTCAAAATGTTTTTTTAAGATTTTGTTTTAAATATTTTGAGCTCAATATTTATCCAATGTTTTTAAAATAATTTAAAAATGATAATTATGTATGTAATATTTTAGAAATATTAATTCAACATTTAATACATTATATTTTATGTATTTATATATTTTATATATACTCGCACAGCCCAACCTTCCTAACGTTAAGGGCAAGTGGATAGACAACATCAACAAGGATAAGAAGATCACGCCCGGGTCCGCACGGTCCATAGCTGATAGAGCATTGTCCATTATCAAGCTATGGGCTAAACAGGAGGATGAGATAGTGGTGTTTTAACCAACGACGGATGCTGTAGCACAACCAGCAACCGATGCTACCAGCCTAGACACGCCTTACGACGACGGACGAGATATGGGGGCTTCCTTTGTGAAAGCATTATCTTACAGCCCAGTTGCTGCAAGCCTTCAATCTCGTGCCGTGTGCCCGTTCTGCGTGTATGCTGATATCGCTGGCCTGCCAGAGTATGAAGCACCTATCGAAGAGTCAGTGTCTTACGCTTGTCCATTAGTGATGACGCCTTTAGCGCATTCACTCGGATAGTCTACCCAAAGAAATAATAATGCTTGGGCCCAGGCATGCGCCAGGGCCCATAATAGGGAGATGTATTCTGGCAATCGCAACATCGATGATGTCACGAATTTCACGACACGCGACCCGCTGGTAGCACTGTGCAGAGCCGAGTTTTGGCACTCCCCCACCATCCCAGTGTACGAGGGCCCTGAAGCGGCCGTGCTCGCAGACAAAATCATCGTACAATAATATTTTGAATTTGATAATATTATGATGATATAATTAAAATAGTTATATCATATTCAGAATATAATAATTATATGGATATAAAATCCAAATAATTAAATATTATTTTGAATTAATTATCATTATGAAATAAATTGTTGAAATAACCAAATGATATTATGAAGTTTTTTTATAAATTTTATAAATTTTTTATTATTTATAATGGTTCAATATTGGAATAATATATTACTATTTTTAATAATCTATCAATAGTTTATTAAAATTGAAATAACTGTATAATATTTTGATAATATGTGTTTACCTATATATATATTATATACCTATAGGTATTGTTTTGATAGAATCTTAAACCATGATTATAACATTTGATTATTATTATTATTATTATTATTATTATTATTATCAATACACCTTGATAGTGTGTTAACAGTTATCATAGAATATTTATTATTTACAATCTACTATTAACTAAATAATTATTATACTCATAATATATAAGAACACTTAGTCTTTACTCATTTAATAATATTAATATTTAATAATTTGTAAACTTTTAACTTATTACTTAATGCTTTAAGAAGCATGGGGAAACCGCAATACAATCAGGCATTTTGGTCTGAATGGCTGAAGGACAAACTATTTTTAGATTGGTTGTCCGAGTATGAAGGCGATCCATTAAAAGCATTTTGCAAAGTCTGTTGTTGCCAAATAAGGGCCAAAAGAGCTGATTTAATAAACCACAGAAACACTAAAAAACACGAAACGGCCAGTGGAGCTATTCGTTTACATGCACCAGGCAGTATAAAATTAATAAAACTTAACAATAAGACAAACCATGCTGAAGCGGCAATTGCTTTATTTGTAAGTGCCCATTGCTCTATTTTATCCTCTGACCATTTAGGAGAGTTATGTAAGTTGCAATTTTCTGGAGCACATGCAGATAATATTCATCTCCATCGCACAAAGCGCACTGCAATAATCAATAATGTTCTTTGCCCATACTTTGAGCTAAAATTAAAAGACGATATTGGGAATAACAAATATAGTATTCTTGTTGACGAATCAACTGACATATCAGTTACAAAGTTTCTGGGAATTGTCATTATATATTATAGCACCTTAAAAAGAACCATAGTAACAACTTTTTTAGGATTGGAAGAACTTATGGAAGGTAACGCTTTAGCTATTGTTAATGCTATAAAGTCTTGTTTAAAAAAATATTCTTTAAACATAAAGAATATGATAGGCCTAGGAACAGACAATGCGAGTGTTATGATAGGAGTCAACAACGGAGTACACAAATTACTGAAAGATGAAAATCCATACATTGTCCTTATTAAATGTGTATGTCATTCTTTAAAATTAGCTACATCTCATGCAGTTTCTGAAAAGTTACTCAGAAATTTAGATTTTTTAATTTCTGAAACATAAAATTGGTTCAGTACATCAACTCTTAGACAGCAAGCATATTATAAAGAGTTATTTACAACTTTAAATGATGGATGTGAACCTTTAAAGATTGTGCAAGCATCAAACACTCGTTGGCTTTTCATTGAAGTGGCAGTTTCTCGGGTAATAGCCCAATGGTATGAACTCAAACTTCATTTTKAAGTTTCCAGATCTAAAGAAAAATGCTACCTCGCAGAAATGTTATACAACAAGTACAAAGATGAACAATATCTAGCTTACTTATTATTTTTAAAGCCAATTTTAAAAGAAATTCAACGAGTGAATAAGTTATTTGAATCAAGCAACATTGGTCCTACTAAATTATGTAATGAACCAAGTTCATTAATTGCCTCAATAGGTAAATTAATCGTAATACCAACCTTTYGTTTTGAACCTATTACAATAGATTTTACATCACATTTACACCCTCATCCATATTTAGGTTTTGGATTTGAAAAAAAAAATTCAGAAATGATTAATGCAAATAAAATATCAAAAGATAATGAAAATATTTTGAGAGAACGTTGCATATCTTTTGTAGTTGCATTAGTGAAACAACTACAACAAAGGCTGCCAGAAAATATAAATATTTTCCAAAAAACTGAAATACTTTCTCCTTCGAATGTTCTTAAACAAATAAAAGAAAATATTATTGATTTGTGCTAATGTTTTGGAATTGATAGTGAAGAAATAGAAAATACTGAAACTCAATGGCGGAAAATAAATTTGGTTTCGTGGAAACATACAAATTCATCTATCGATTTTTGGACTGAAGTCAAAGAATTTAAAGATGCAGCACAATGTTATATATTTAAAGAATTAGCTAATTTTTCTTTGACAGTTCTGTGTTTGCCATGGTCCAACGCTGCTGTTGAAAGAATTTTTAGCCAAATGAACATTGTAAAGTCAAAAGCAAGAAATAAAATAGCTGCGTTACCCCAGCACCCGTACTTTCGAAATCATGAATTGTTGTTGAAACATGAATTTTCATGTTTGAAATAATCAAACAGTATTATGTACTTTATTTTGTACAATTTTGTACAACCAAAATTAAATTTTGTACAACCAAAATTAAATTTTGTACAACCCTCAAACCCCTTCAAATTGCCATTTCATCTTACGGGTGCCGCAGTAACCCCAGCACCCGGATCTATTTATATTTATTATGTACAACTATTTTTCACAAATTTCAACTTTAAACCAAACAGTATTATGTACTTTATTTTGTACAATTCTGTACAACCAAAATTAAATTTTGTACAACCYTCAAAYCCCTACAAATTTCATCTTAAGGGTGCCGCGGTATTATAGCTGTGCTATCAATAAATATAAAATACGATTTATTTATATTTTTAACCATGACATTAACAATTTTCAGAATATTAAAAATCGTCTCGATAAAAACCTAGCAATGTTGTTAATCAATCTTAATCCATTTTTAAAATTCRAATCCCTCAAACCAAATTACTACAGTTTTGTCTAGATGTTTTGGCCTAAAAGCCACTTTTTTCAGGGCTTGAAACCGATTGAAATAATTTCGGTTTCGGTTTCGATTTCGATTTTGTATACCGGTTTTGAAAATTTTCAATTTCGGTTTCAATTTTCAATATCGCTATTAAGAAATTCCGATTTCGTTTTCGATTTTTAATACCGTTATTGAGAAATTTCGATTTCGGTTTCGATTTTGTACATCGGTTTTGAAATTTTTCGATTTCGGTTTCAATTTTCCAAACCGGTATTAAGAAATTTCGGTTTCGATTTTGTATATCGGTTTTAATTTTTTTTTTTTTTTTTGATTTAAATTTTTAGTCAATTTTCAATCAGTTTTAATTTATTAAAATTTTGATATTGATTTCGGTATTGAAATTAATTTCACACCATACTTTTCGACTAAAATTTGTTAAACAATAAAAGTTTCGTCCCTTGACTAAATACTATAGTCATTACTAATAATAATATTAAGTATGT